AGAGGCTTTGGAAGGAATAAATACTTGAAGAAAATGTCTTTGGTGTGTGCATTTTGCCTCCTTCCATATTGTATAGCAAAGATAAAAGAAAGTAGTTGATTTTTCCATATATGTGAACAGCAGAAATCATTGGAGTATCAGCTGAAAAAGCCAATAAGCATGGATTCTAGGTGCATCCATTTACCTGTGAATATCTCAAGTCTATTTTTCTTTATGGCTGAGTAGTACTCCATTTTATTAAAAAACACATCTTCAGGCCGGGGATTTGGCTCAGTGGTTTTGCTGCCTGCTGCGCAAGCGCAGGGATCCGAGTTCGATCCCCGGTACCAAAAACAAACAAACAAAAAAAAAACACATCTTCTTAAAAAAAAACACACACACATCTTCTTTATCCATTCATTACTTGAGCATTTGGTCTGTTTCCAATATATAACTATTACAAACTGTGCTGCTGTAAGCATGGGTGTTTGTATTACCCATATATCACTGTGGTATGAAGCTTTTGATTCTTTCAGGAAGATAGCAAGAAGGGGAATAGCTGGGTCAGATGGAACCTGTAGTTTTAGTTTTTTGAGGATTCACCACACTGATTTCCACAGTGGTTGCACCCATCTACACTCCCACCAACTGTGGAGAAGGGTTCCTTTTCCCCCACAGCCCCTCCAGCATTTGCTATTAGGGTTTTTTTTATATAATAACCATTCTTTCTGGAGTGAGATGGAATCTCAGCATTGATTTAATTTTTATCTCTTGGATGACCAGTGATGTTGAACATTTTTTTGTATATTTATTTGCTGTTTTTACTTCTTCCTCTGAGAAGTGTGTATTCATCTCAGATGCCCATTTTTGGATTGGGTCTTTAAATTTGGAAGGTTTGATTTTTTTCCAGTTCTTTATATATTCTAGATATCAGTCTTTTGTCTGAGAACAGCTAACAAAATTTTTTCCCACTCTGCTGGTTGTCTCTTCGTGCTGTTGGTGGTTTCCCTTGCTGTGCAAAAGCTTTTTAATAAGATGAGAGCCCAGATGTTGATTCTTTGTAATATTTCTCGTGCGATCAGGGGTTTTTTTATACAATGGAGTATAAAGAAAGTATAAAGAAATGAAGAATAAAGAAAGATGAAATGGAAACAAAGCTTTGTAAATAAAGGGAAGAAGGGTGGAAGAGGGGAGGGGAATGGGATTAAAAAATAAGACTCAAGATATATCATGTACAGATACAAATTCCATATGATGAATGTGATCATTATGTATATCTAAATTGTTCCAATAAACTTAATTAATGATTTAAAAAATCCAATGAGCAAACAGTCAATGAGTAAAATAATTTCTTAGCAAAAGAACGGCTATAAAGAAAATGGAAACATGGTGAAGAGCTCGACGGCGGTGGGGTGGACCAGGGAAGAAATGTGTTTGACGAAGAGACGTTTAAGCAAATACGCGATTGGCCAAAGGGACAGTGCCTTGGAACCTGGGCATCTTTGGCAGGGACCACGATGTCAAGGCCAGGGAACACCTGCTTCTTGCTCATTCCACCACTAGGTGGCAACTCTGGGTTAGGGTCAAAGATTTCCTTGCCCCAGCCAAGGAACAGCACTTCACACAGACTTTCTCTTTTTTTATTTAGATACTGATCTGATTAATTTTCACAATTAATTTAAATAGTTTTAATAATTAGGACTTGTGCACCTACAACTCCTCCCCCCCCAAAAAATGGTATGACCTTGGCAATAACCTTCCTGTATCTATGAAGTCCCCCAATTCATTGTCCTGCCTTCCCTTAACTAAGGTAAACACCATCCTCAATCCTAAATTCACCAATTTTGAGTTTCCTTTTCATATAATTTTATTGCTACCATACAAAATCCTAAATAGTTCATATTCTTTATATTAGAAGCATTTCATTTTATAAAAATGTGTTATGCTTTATATAATCTTTTGGGATGATGTGGTTTTTTCTCTTACTATTTATCCATTCATCCATATTGTTTGTTTGTTTGTTTGTTTGGTACCGGGGATCGAATTCAGGACCTTGTGCTTGCCAGGCAGTCATGGTCCTACTGAGCTACATTCCTGGCCATTCATCCATATTATTAAACATTGTTCTAGTTCATTCAATTTGACTTCTGTTGATGAGAATTCATTTTTTGCTTCCAGTTTTCCCTGTTGTGAACAAGGCATCGTGCTCATCTTACATTTCTTGTACAAGTGTTTCTCTTGGATACATGCCTAACAGTAGCCTCGCTGGATTCCAGGGTATGTGAATATTCACTGTAAGAGGGAATGCCAAACTATTTTCTAGTGATTGCTCTGATTTATATTCCTTCAACAGGGAAAAAATATACTGTGTGTCCACATACTCTCCAACTCTTGATCTTGTCAGACTTACAGTTTTGGAAATAGATTGGCGATAAAATGTCCTCTCATTATATTTTGATATTTTTGTTCGTTTGTTTTTTGGGTTTTTTTGGTACCGGAGATCGAACTCGGGTCCTTGTGCTTGCGCAGCAAGCGGCGAAACCACTGAGCTAAATCCCCAGCCCCTATATTTTGATTTTTACATACTCCATCACTAATGACTTTTAGTATGCATTTACTATCTCTATCTTTCCTTCTTCTCTGAAGTGCTCTAACAGATAGACCTAGCTTTTCTAATGTAACCATATTACTATTATTGATACGGAGAGGTTTTGGATGACTTAGTGGATTGAGTATTGGGGTGGTTGTGGAAACAGGATAGGTGGTGTGTTCTTTTGATATTTGCTTTTCCCATAACTCCTTGTTTGAGGTGATGATTATCTGACTCTGACCGGTGACTTCATTGACCTTGCAGAGTTGCCATGCAGGGGCGAATTTGCAATGTGTACGTGCCTGTCTTGTGTCTGTGACTTGTGGATAGGAACTGGAGTTGTATTTACACATCGAGGACCACTAGGGATGAGATAATGGCTAAAGGGGATGTAAGAAGGGAAACGCTGAACAAACGGGGCGGGAGGCTGACCTGACCGGTTTCTGGCGTTCCCGCCCGCTCGCGAGAAGAAATTTTATTGTTTTGTCCGAATTCTGTGTCTCTGTGTATTTCTTTCCGAGATTTCTGTAACATTATGACACTAAACAACATTAATAATAATCCCTGGCACTCTACTAGAAGTGTATTCATATCAAATATGCTTCCACTGGGTCCATTTCTTCTTTCATTTATTCATTGAATGAACACATCCAGACAAGGGATGCAGAAGCAGAAAGAGTATCTGGGGTAGTCTGTTCCTCTAAGAAGGCAAAAACTATTTCAGACTATGAAATCTCTCCTGCCACTTATCAGGATGTGAGAACAGACACAGATCAAGCTAGATGTAAAATTAAGATGAAACATATCCCCCAAGGACGGGCTGCAGCTATAAAGCTCTAAAGAACTCCTATTTTAAGTGGCTACTGCTCCAAGTTAGGGTTCTTTATGGTAGCACATTAGTCACTGAGAAACTTATAACTATAATCATAGACAATTAGAAACTTTGCTGTTTGAAATGGTATCAGTGAGAATGAAACACCTGACTCCTAGAGGAGATTCTAAGTCACTTGGACGTAGAAAAGCAAGTCTTGGTTCCAGCCCAGGTACGCAGCTCCAGATATGGGGTGTCTGGAGAATGCATCCTACAGCTATCTTCATTGTTTCCAAGGCAACAGGACTCTGGGTTCACTTTGCCATGTTGGTCCCTTCACACTTAGCCTTGCTTGGAGCTCCTCCAAACACTGCTTCATTTACATTTCATCTGAACGCCACCTTTCTTTAGAATCCTCTAAGAATTCTATTTTTTCCTTTATTTAGTGAGCTGCCCCATGGTTTCTCTGCTGTGTGGTCTCCTTCATTGATTGATGAATCTGTCAGACTATAAATTAGTTTCGGATGGTTATATGCTGACTTGGAGACACATCTTACATTCCAGATTGTTAAAATGTGGCCCCCAGCAAGTTCACACCTCAGCCAACACTAGGTCCCTTCAAAATACTTTTGTTATCTGAGGATCCTGTGCATTTAGTAGAGCACAGAGCCTTCTTCTCTCTCAGGAGGATTTCGGGGGTGGCAGGGTGGGGAGATTTGAACTTGGTTTTGCAGAATGAATAGGCATAATCAGATGAAAGGCAGCACGATTCCCTTCCCCTTCTGCCCTGACATCTCCCAACAGGGCAGGGGCACCTCCAGAATTCCACATTGGAGGTGAAAGGGGCAGCAAACTGGTTGAAGGGAAAAATCAAAATCTGGTAATAAGCTACATTTGCAACATAAGGGCACTGTCACTAAGATTTTTCTTTGTGAGGAAATAAAGATAGTAAGTTTCCTAAAGATGTTTTTATTGATTGTGCATTAGACTAAGGACACATCAAACGTTTTTATTGGTACATACTTTTAGTTGGGATAGATGGAGAGGGAAATAAGGTAGCTTAAGGGAGCATTCAAACCCCACAGCTAAACTCCATTGGCACGACAGGGGTAGGAAATTTAACACTGACTTCCCCCCCCTTCCCCCTCATGGTATGTTCCAGCCTGATTCCACCACCACCCCTCGCTTTTTCATCCAGTAGTATGGACCAGAAGACAGCTGCTCGCGCTTTGGTGACTTTATAAGAGGCTCTCAGCTTCTCGGAATGGTATACTCAGCTTTGTAGATTACAGATTTAAAGAAACTTCTCTTCCAGTAAACCTGTTCACAGAACAGTCTCCACTCCCGTCCCCGGCCGCCAGTGGGACAGTCTCCACACCCCTACTCTGTGCATTTAGAAACGTCCTCATCCTCAGTACGGAATGGGGACTCCTCCAACATGGCGTATCCCATAGGGAAACGCGACCTAGGCGCGGCCATGTTTCCCGCCTAACAACACTGCCATGGGCATCAAACGCCCCAAAGCCTCGACTCCGTAACAACGCCTCCTTGACTCTGCTGAGACCGCGAGGGTGATTTTGCGCGTGCGCAGACCTTCCTGCCACCCCGGGGCGAAGCCCCCAAACCCAAGAAGGGGCGGTGCCACGGCGGTGACCGGAAGCAGCTGCGGTTCTCAGCCGCGGTTTGATAGTTGTCAAGCGGATTCAACTCACTGCTGGAGGGATGTGGAGGTGATGGTCGACCAGGGAGGGTGAGTGCTGGGGATTCTGTGTTGTCAGCGATGGAATCGTTTGTCTAACTTGAGTTGGACGATTCGCCCATTATCTTGCAGGCTTTTCTCTTTGCCGATATCAACGTTAAGGTTTTAAAGTTCACTTTAAGCCCCGCTGGTTTGGTACATTATGTTTTAAATGCTTTTTAGGCGTCTTTTACCTTTTGTCTTTTACCCAGGAATTATTTAGAAGTGCGTTTTCAATTCCCCCAAATTTATCCTTTTAACGAATTTCTAAGCTCAGTTTGTTTTCGGGGTGAGAAAAATGTCTACGTGAAGCTTATTTTTGAAATATGAGGAAACCTATGGCCTAGTCCGTGGTGAATTTTTAGCAATGTTTTCTAACTGGAAAATAATATTTATTTAGGTGTCAGTTATGTCATACAAAATCCGTCTTTTTGTGTGTGTGCTTCTTCTATTACTGTAAAAGGAGAGAGATATTCTTCACCGTGGTGGTGATTTGTTCATTTATCCTCGTTGCTGTCAATAATACATTATCAGTTAATTTTTGTATAATGTGAGATTCAGGTCGAGGCACATTTCACTTATGAATTGTCCCGTTACTCAAGCACCATTTATTGGAAAGATTATCCTTCATTTCTTGACTTGTTTTACACCTTTGTCAAAAACAAATTGACCATAATTGTGTGGGAGCTCTTTCTGGGTTCTCCATTCCGCCCCATTGATTTATGTGTCTATGTGGCAGTAGTTCCACACTGTCTTGATTACTGTAGATGTGTATAGTAAGTCTTGAAATCGGGTAGTGATTACTTCCACTTTGTTCTTTTTAAACAGTATTTAGCTCTTTTAGTTCCTTTGCTTTTCCATGTGCATCTTATAATAATCTTGTCTGTACTCACAAAACATGTTGCTGGGATTTTGGTAGGAATAGTGTTAAACCTGTATATCAACTTGGGAGGAATTTACATCTTAACTGTGAATTCTTCCAATCCATTTTCACAGAATATCTCCATTTAGATTATCTTTGAGTTATTTTAGAGTGTATTGTAGTTTTCAGCATACAAGTTGTGTAGATGTTTTGTTAAGTTTGCTCCTAAGTAGTTGTACGTGGCATTGTCTTCTAAATTTTGGTTTCTGCGTATTTGCTGATTATATGGGAGTACAGTTGAGTTTTGTGTGTTGATCTTGGATCCTACAATTTTGCTGAACTCAATTTAAATTTTACATCTTTTTTGGTAGATTCTTTTTTTGTTGTTTAATAAGCAATCATGTCATACACAAACAGGGAGAGTTTTATTTTTTCCTCTCTTTTTTTTCATTCTTTATTATGCTGCCTAGAATTTCCAGTACAGGTTGAGTGTTCCTTATCCAAAATGCTTAAGATCATAGGGCCGGGAATTTAGATCAGTGGTTCCGGCACCTGCCTCGCAAGCGCAGGGTCCCGAGTTCAATCCCCGGTACCAAAAAAAAAAAAAAAAACCACAAAATGCTTAAGATCAGAACTGTTTTCAGATTTTGGATTTATTTAAATTTTGTAATATTTGCATATGCAAAATGAGATATTTTGGGGACTGGAGCCAAATATAAATACAAAATTTATCTGTGTTTCATATACACTTTCTTTTTTTTTAATTTTAAATCTACTTTAATAAATTATACATGTATGAATTTGTATATGTATGTTCTCTATGTGTCATTTTAAAGTATATAAGACATCTTTGATAATTAAAGACAAGCCATGTTGATGGTAATAAGTTTAGACAAACTGTCACTGACTTTAATACACTGTTGACTAAGAAAAGGTAGTTCAAGGCTTTAGCTTTGAGCTTGATAAAAATGTCAGGGTATGTTTGAGAAATCTGTCCTTGTTATACTATAAAAATAACTATAATACTTTAATATTTTCAGAAGA